AAAGAAAAAAAAATTAATACACGAGAGAACAATGTGTCCACCTATGAAACATTGCTGCCTGCAGGAGACAAGGATAGTGAATAAAAGTGAACATATTCTGCTCCTTGACGTACGTATTTACATTGAAGAAGCAAGTTGCACAATGAAACCCCATCTCCCCTTCCTTCAAGGGGAAGGCCCTGCAAGCTGCCGGCTGTCACTGAGACCGGACCCTCATCTCTGAGGAGTGGCTGCGACGAGGCCGAGCGATAGCAACACGCAGCCGACTCTGCCGTGGATGCGGCTGCCGAGGCCGCGAGATGGCAGGGAGGTTGCATCCTGTGATTTTCCACACGAGAGGGTGAAAACATGGGTCCCAGGCGTCAGACTCTCCAGTTGGATGATGATTTCCCCTGAGATCCATCATTACGCCCCATAACATCTGCAGACCTGACCTCCAGAAACTGACCCTCACACCCAAGAACGATGGGCAGTTTGGAGGGGAGCCTACCTGTAAGGCCTGGGGCCGCCACCTCCAGCACGCTGGCCAGCGGGGGCCGAGGCAGAGAAGGAGTCCCAGAATCAGCCGCCCAGGGAGGGGGAGTGGAGCACGGAGAACTGCAGCATTAGGCGGCAGAGGGGCCCAGGGAGTAACACAGAATCATGTCCAGAAAGTACTAGAACAAGCAGTTTAGGAGAGCACAAGTGTCCCCATGATGCTTCTTTTCAACCTAGCCTATAAAACCTTATTTCACGCCTACACCTCCGGGCTTACTAGGGCAAGTCCTCCACTGCCGCTAAGACAGAAGGAAATGCAACGTGCCGCCAGGTACAAAGTAACAGAGCGCAACGCCACGGGCCTGTCCAGCCACTCGGACGCGCCCTCTAGTGGCCTAGCAGCAAAGAGCCACCAGCAGCAGAAGTCAAAACACCATCCCCAACCAGGACCCCAGGCCCAAAAGAACTCCTCCAGTTTCTGTGCGAGGCACCACAGGGCTCCCGAGACACCGAGTGCAACCTGCTCAGGACTGGCCGGGGGAATCAGCTTAAAAATAGGGTGCTCCCAGGAGGGACCAGGTGTTCCGGGGAGGGACTGAGTTGGGCTCAGGAAGGACAGGAATGCGGCTCCAGGCCCCGAATGTCCTTCCCGCCTGTCCCCTCGCACCGTGATCACAGGGGACCTCCAGACTGGCTCCCATAGGGCACAGCCGTGCTCGTCGGTCAGTGAGCGGACCTGTGGTGCCAGCACCATCCTCACCGCTGTTCTAAGGGAAGGACTAGAACATATCCTCATCCCTTGGAAAGTGGCTGTTTTTCTGGCCTTTGAACTGATGCACAGAGCTAACCAACCTCGCAGAAACTCTGCAGTAATTCCACTGGGAAAAAATGGGCGGGTATGATCTGTGTGATAGCTCCGTAAACCGGAAACAGAGTATCAAATAAATAATATTTAACACTTGGAAAGACTTACGTTTATAAAAGGGTTTAAAATATTTTACTTGATTTCAGCGTTTGACCTTCACAACAGCCCTGTTTGATCATCCACATTTACCAGACGAAGAAACTGCCCCTCAAAGAGGTTTAGTAACTCCACTCCCCTCCGTACCCGCTGCCAGGAGACAGGCAGGCAGTGATCACAAAACTAAACGTGCTCTCACCAAACGACCCGGCAATCACACTCCTTGGTATTTACCCAAAGGAGCCGAAAACTCATGTCCACACAACACTGCACACAGACGTTTATAGCAGCTTATTCATAATTGCCAACACTTGGAAGCAACAAAGATGTCTTTCAGTAGGTCAACTGATAAATAAATTGGTCCACTCAGACAAGGGAATATTATTCGGCACTAAAAAGAAACAAGCTGTCAAGCCATGAAAAGTCATGGAAGAAACTTCAAAGCATTTTACTAAGTGAAAGAAGCCAATCTGGAGAGGTTACATACTGTATGATCCCAACGATATGACATTCTGGAAAAGGCAGTTAAAAGATGAGTGCTTGCCAAGGACTGGCGGGAAGGGAGGGGTGAACAGGTGGGGCACGGAAGCTTTTGAGGGCAGTGAAACTACGCTATACGATCCCATCATGGTAGACGCATGACGTTACACGTTGGTCAAAACCCGCAGAACGTACAAGACAAAAAGCTAACCCTGATGTAAACTATGGATGTTAGTTAATAATAATGTATCAGTACTGACCCATCAATTGCAGTCAGTGTACCACCCCAAAGCCAGACGTTGATAACCGAGAAAGCCTTCTGAAGCAGGGGAGTAGTGTATACAAATCCTCTACTCCTTCTGCTTAACCTTTCTGTAAATGTAAAGCTGCTCAAAACAATGAAATCTAGTAATTTGAAAACTGGGCTTCCCTGGTGGCGTAGTGGTTGAGAGTCTGCCTGCCGATGTAGGGGACGTGGGTTCGTGCCCCGGTCCGGGAAGATCCCACGTGCCGCAGAGCGGCTGGGCCCGTGAGCCATGGCCGCTGAGCCTGCGCGTCCGGAGCCTGTGCTCCACAACGCGAGAGGCCACAACAGTGAGAGGCCCGCGTACCGCAAAAAAAACACAACAACTTATTTTCCTCTATGTTTCACCTCCTCCATGAAGTGCTCTCCATATATCTTGAACTCCCTTTGAAATGATCTCACATTCTGACCCCGTGAGATCGAACCGCAATACACACTGGATCCCCAGCTTCACGGCCTTCTGTCACAGTGCTGGGGACTGGGATGGGGATACAAGGACACATCTTAACCAAGCTGGGACACTGAACCCTCAGAACTGCTCTGCCGGGAGAAGCACCCCTTCCTCTCCTGAGGAACCCAGAACGCCCCCCAGGCGGTGGCCTTGCTGCCCTGCTGACCCTGCACCTCTCTGTGCATCTCAACCCGCATCTGGACGGCAGTCCCAGCAGGCCCAGAGGGTGAGGCGTGGCCACAGAGAGTGCAAAGCACATGAAAGAACTGCATGATGTTGCCAATTTGTAGCAAAAGAAACACATGTGGGGATGGATCTTCAGGACGTGAGGTCAAGGCGGAATGAACAGAAACTGGACCAGGCAGAGTTTACTGATACGGGCCCCGAAGCACAGATTCTCCAGCCAACGGCTCCAGCAGTCTCCACCACCGGTTGACATAAATAGGGACACAAGGTCCCTACTGAAGAGAAGTGGAAACACCAGAACTCCCTTTTTACGTGACAGAGGCATGTGCCCAAAGGCTTAGAGAGATCAGCACAATCGACCTGCCCATGACCCCAGGAGGGTCCAGAGAGCACGAGAAATAAGTTCATGGGTCCCAGCATCCTCGAAGGGCTCACAGAGATGCCCATGCGTGTCAGGAATACACTGGGAGTTGCTTCCATTCATCTGGGACCCCTGAGTGCACCAGGATGATGGCGCCTTGGGGAGGCAGGGGCCAAGTGGGGGCACTTAAGTGCCAAAGAGAAGGGGATGTGGTCACCACAGGGAACTGATCAGAAGAAAGTGGCCCACGAGGCCTGGGGCATTGGTTAGCTGCTGGCAGTGTTCCTAGAGCTGGACGAGATGGGCCTTCCACCAGCATCCAGGGACCTGCACCAGCAGGAAAGTTCTACATCTACTGAATCGCCAACATAGTCACAGCCCCTCCACCATTTCCACACTTGGAACCTCCATGTCACAGACCAGAGCCCCTTGAAGGATGGGTGGGAGCAGGCCCCCTGGAGGAAAGACTCTGCTACACGAGCCAGACCCTCATCCTGTTCATCTCGCCCCCAGCCTCCAACAGGGGCCTGCAGCCTTCTACCGGGGCAGCTGTGCGCTGAGGAAAAGGGCGTCAGCACACCCTTCCGTGACCACTGGACACCGGCTCTCAACTGACAGTAACACCAGAAGACCCAAAACATCACCAAGGCCCGCCAGGCACACAGGGGCTTATGGGGCAGGTGAGCAAACCCATCCTGTGGTTACTCCCCGGCTCCGGAATGCACATACTCGGCGGCTGCCAGAATCCCCACCCTGTTCCCTGACCTGCGGAGTGAGGGTATCACACGGGAAAGGCACCCAAAGCGCCTCCACTTAAGACCACCACACACCGCAGTTTCCACTCACGACATCATAGACCAAAAGCAACATCCCATTCCTGGAGGGACTGCAGAGGTCTGTGCCACCACCAAGCAGGGTGAGGACTCCCACGCCCGTCCGCGGACGGCGGCGTGTCCTGGAGGACGGCGGTGGGTTCCATGAAGGGACCCACATGGGGCCGACCGCCACCGCCGCCGCTGCCACGTGTCTTCTCTGCCGGAGCGAGTGGCACAGCCCACGGCACCTGCTCCCCTGCCCGCGGGAGCAGTCATCAGAGGAAGCCCGCTCTCACGGGCCAGGCCAGCCACAGCGCCACGTGTCAGCGCTCCAGCCCTCGGCGCCGTCTGGGGCTCTGGGACCCTGATCGCCTTTCCTCTCACGGGCCTCATGCAGGGGACACCGGTACACTGAGGACACTGTGGGCAGGAGGCAGCCACGGTCCCACGTGCCCAGGGGAGATGCCTGCACTCCGAGGGTCCACGGCAGACCCGATGCTGCAGGAGCCCGGGAAGGCCGCGGCAGGTGAATCACAGTGCAGACCCTCAGGGTTCATCCTCTGCAGAAAACGTCTCTCCCTGGGGAGGCTGCGCCTGGCCTGCTCCCGGGCCTCATTCAAGACTGCACACTTGCCTGTGGGCCACCGAGCAGCCGGGCGGCTGGGCTGGGACACTAGGAACGGGGCTCCGGCAGTGCGGCCGTTTTGCAGCGACACACACGGCCACCCCCCCACCCTCACTGACCGGCAGCGCCAGCCACGGCTGCCGGGGCCACCTCGAACCCAGGAGGGACCCAGGCCACCTGCCCCCGCCCATCGCACACTGGCTGGCTCGGCCCTTTTCTAACTCCTCACACCTAAGAGGCCAAGGGCTTTTAAGAAGAAGCAACATGTCTTCCAAGCACTTGGCGCCGTAGCGGCTGCTGGCCCAGCAGCAGGGCGCGGATTGGGCCCCGGCCTGCGTACCTGTGCGGGAGAGCGCCCTCAGGGTGGCTGTCAGGTGCTGCAGGACCCCTGGCGACACTTCGTAGTGGTGCACGTCTATGGCTGGAAGCTCCTGACACCGTCCAAACGCTCCGTCTGCAACAAAGGGAGGCAGGTCAGGTAAGAGAGGAGACAGACAGACGGCCAGGAAGCCCTGGCCACGGCTGGCGGCGAGGCTCCGAGGAGCTGCCAGGATCAGAAGCACCTGCAAAGTGACAGTGTTTTAGGTGAAAAGCAGAGCTTCGTGGAAACCACAGATGCAAAGGCTGAGTCCAGCATGGTTTGGGTTTTTAGTCTACTTTCCAGCCCTCCCTGCCCAGCCCCCGCCTTTTTGTCATTTGCCAGCAGAGACTTTCACACTTTCGATGTGAAGCTTTGCTTCTGCCTGTCCAGTGACCAAATGGTCAACAGTCTTCAGAGCCGGTCTTCCAGATGAGAAACAGGACGCCTAGGAACGTAAGTGCCCAGTTGCAGGAGGCGCTGGTGGTGGGGCCATGGAGCCCCGGCAGGGCTGGCTTCCAGGGGGCCTCCTCAGAACGCGGTGAAGAAGGGGGGCTCCAGGAACAGTGAGATATTAATGGGGACCCATTATCCTGCTCTGTCCTATTTGTCTGAAATGACAGACTCTGCTCATCAACATCTTTTCAAACCGCACCTTCTAATTAATTTAGACCCTAATTAGTCTTTATTCAGCAAATTGTTCACTTTGAGACAAGCTTCCTATGGGGGTTCAAACATTCAAATCACCGCCTTGGGTACAAAAGGCTAATTCAGGACCCAGGGCCTCACCCAGGGCGGCATCTACAGCGTCAGGCTGGCGCAGGGGGAAAGCGCTTCCATTGTCCACTGCCTTTCAAATGCAACCAGTTTAATTAGCAGAAGCGCATTTGCCCAGCACCAGGCTGATCAGCGATTGCTGCTCGCATGTTCCACGTGTGCTCAAGGCGGACGCCCTGCGTGAGCAGCAGAGAGTCATCGTAAGTGTCCTCTCACAAGCACCTCCCGGATTTCCGTGGACCTCTGCAAAGCCCAGAGAATCCGGGAGGCGACCTGCCAGGCTGCTGGGCTGCTGGGAGCAGGCAGACAGCGGCCACGTGAGGAGTCCAACCTTCAGCCTCTGCCCCCGCTCGGTGAGCGCTGCTGAAATTAACCCAACTGCCACCAGTGATCCGGGGCCAGCTGTCTCGGACGGAGGGTCTCCTCCCCACTGCCGCCCCCCAGCAAGATGGACGGTCTGCTCGGCTGGAACACAGATGGTAAGTGTCCCTGTCCTCTGACTCCGTTTCATGCAAAGAGCTCCATGCCAGTGGGTGGTGTGCTTGGCGTGTGGGGCAAGGAGAGAAGGGTGAGAACGCTCCAGAATACACCGGAACTTTCATGTCCCTCTTCAAGTGGAAATATCTTGAAACCAGGGAATGGAAGGAGCATTAAAACGGTCCAACCCAACGTTTTAGATGAGAAAACCGAGGCTGGAGTGTAGGGAGGGATCAGTAGCTGAGCTGAGTGGCAGGCAGAGAAGTCAGGTCCATATCAGCGACCAGCTAAGCGCCTGCAGGTAGCCTCGCTTCCGGGGACGTGTCTGAGAGCCCCTCCCGCAGGAAACACCCCACCACTCAGGCTGTCACAGAGGAGAATACGGGCAAAGACATTTCCTCGCTGTTTTGGAGTGTCCCAGGTGAATTCTCTCCTTTCTCAAGTGTGACGGCTTCATTCTTTCAATCTGGTTTGTGGTGTACACGTTGTAAATATATTCTAAGAAAAATATACATCAGATTTTCTTGAAACCCTTCTTTTAAACATATATTTAGACTATAGATAACGTAACACATAATATTGTTTGTGCTTTTAGAATCAGTGTTAGCTAATAATTGTTTGGATCGTCTGAAAGCTAACCCTGGACGCTCTTCACCCCTAGACTCCAGCCACACTGATGAGGTAGAGACACTGTCCCCAGGAGCTTCTTTTAATTAATAAACTTTATTTTTCAGAGCAGTGTTGGGTTCACAGCAAAATTAAGAGGAAGGTACACAGACTCCCCATAAACCTCCTGCCCCCATGCAGGCACAGCCTCCCCATTATCAACATTCCCATCAAATGGCGCATTTGTTACAGCTGACGAACCTACATTGACACGCCATCAGCATACGGGTACAGAACCCATAGTTCATGTTAGGGTTTACTCTTGGTGCTGTACTTCTATGGGCTTGAACAAATGTACACTGACATGTATCCACTTATCACAGTGTCATACAGAGTATTCTCACTGCCCTAGCATCCCCTGTGCCCCACCTGTTCATCCCTCCCTCCTCCCTGACGCCAGCAAGCAGTGATGTTTTTCACTGTCTCCATAAATTTGCCTTGTCCAGCATGTCATATGGTTGGAATCATACAGAACACAGCCTGCTCAGACTGGCTTCCTTCACTCAGTCATATTCATTTCAGGCTCCTCCATGTCTTTCTGAGGCTCAACAGCCATTTCTTACTAACACTGAACACTATTCCACTACCTGGATGCACCACCGTTTATTTACCCATTCACCTACCCAAGGACATCTTGGTTGCTTCCAGGTTTGGGCGGCTATGAATAAAGCTGCTATAAACATCCATATGCAGGTTTTTGTGTGGACATGTTTTCAGCTCCTCTGGGTAAATGCCAAGGAGCACAGCTGCCGGATCCTATGGTAAGAGTCTGTCTAGTTTTGTAATTGACCACCAAGCTTTTGTCCCCAGCGGCTGCCCCCTGTGTGTCCTCACCAGAAGTGAGGGTCCCTGTTGCTCCTCGCCAGCGTTTGGTGTTGTCAGCGTCTGGATCTTGGCTGTTCTAGTAGGTGTGCTGTGCTCATTATTGTCTTACCCAATGCATTTTTCAATAATGTCGTTCATCTTTACCACCATATTTAAAGGACACCAAGGTATAAGTGTACACGCATGTGTGTGCTATGTACTGTGTCTACATATGTGTGTTTTCATGCCTGCAAATGTGTGTAAGCATATGTAGATGTGTGTTGTGTATATGTATGTGAATGTGTGTATATGTGTACATGTACTGTGTACGTATGTGTCTACCTCCATGTGTGTATGGGCGTATACGTGTCTACTGTGTACGTACATGTTTATGTGTATGTGTGTGCATTGGTGTCCACGTGTATGTGTGTATAGATACACACAGCCTCTAACACTTGTTTAACTGCCAAACTCACAAGAACAAGGAAGCTGCTCTTCCAACCTCTAAACTCACCCCAGAAACAGATGTTTCTAATACCTCTGTCCCAGAAACCTGGTTCCCTCACTTATTCCTCAACAAACAACTTCATTACTTTTTTCTCTGCTTCTGCTGGAGGACGGCGTACACTCTCGTCGGCACACCTCTGAGCATGTCCGGTCCCGTGTCCACAGCGAATCTGTGAGGCCCCTTCCCTCTCCAGTGAGTGGACTCGTCCCCATGCACGCTGCTCTGTGCTGCCCCCTGACCCCCGGACACGGCCCTGCTCTAACGTCCCGCTGGACCAACAGGCAGCACAGCCGTGGGACGTCCACTCAGGGCAAAGACGAACAACAGCGGCTCCGCTCTCAGGGGCTTCCAGCTCACAGGGCAGGCGGCCCCACAGCGCTAAGCACACGCAAATTATTCACCTCTAACTGTGACGTGGGCCACAGTGGACAGGCTACGAGGACAGCAGGAAGGAGGGGCAGTAGCCCCGTGCCACAGGCAGAGGCCCCAGAGAAGCGGCTGGCCCGCGCAGGGCTGGCGAGGACCTGCAGGCTGGGGAGCTGGACCTGCAGAGGGAGGGAGGCGCCTGGTCACTGGGGCTCCGGGACCAAGAGTGACAGAGCTCCAGGCTGGAGCGAGCTGGGCAGGTCAGGCAGACACAAGGGCGTGGGGAGGGCTTGGCCTTCCTCCGGGAGCTGCAGGAGCTGCCAGGGCCTTGTAGGCAGGGGTCGCTTTCTGCCAGGAGCCACGGAGCTGAAGGGGGCTGCTCGTGCAGAGGGGGTGGCTCAGCGTGGGCGGTGGAGATGGAAGAACTAGCCAGACCCGTAGCCTTTTCGGAGGTGAGCCCACAGGACACCGATGCTGCCCAGCTACAGGATGGTCCCACCCCCGTGTCTGTGTCCCACAGAGGCTCTGGGCTCAAGGGGGTATTCTGAGAGGCGGCTCATAGAACGTATGTTTCTCCAAAGTAGTAACAAAGCCCTCTTGAGGCTGGCTGGCAGAGGTGGGGAAACAGCGGCGGCCTCCTGATGGCCACTGGCCCCAAGCACTGCCCACGGGCCTCCAGGGGAGGGAGACTGCATCCCTCCAGGGGGAAGTCACCCCCCAGACCTCTGTGGGAGGTGACCACAGCAACCACAGATGCAGGCATGGACTTGGACTTCCCAAACTTGGGGAACTCAGCGGAATTCTGAAGCTGTCCCCACATCCCCCATTTATTCTGCAGAGCGCAAGACGGATCCCCACTGCCTCTGGGGACCAGAGATTGGATGGGTCTAAAGATAGGAATGGAAGGGATGTTTGAGGCCCTGAGAAAGCAGATGGCCATCTCCCAGCCAACCAAGCACCACAGACCAGAAGTTCTGGGAGCAAAAGCTCTGTTTAGAGACACTCTGATTGTCAGTCACCTAGAACTGGGAGGCTGATTTCTTCCACTGGGAAGGGAAAATATTAACAATTTTTTGGTTGGATTTTTGGAAGAATGTGAAAAAACTGCTTGTTTATCTTGTCTGTTCACCTGTTTTAACCAGCTCCCCTCAGAGCACTATCTCTACAGGCAAACGTCACTTTCACTCATAACCATCACTATCCCCTCAACACTGATGCAGGCCCGTCTCAAGGCCGCCTCCTGGACCAGCTTTCCAGATCACTTCCCCCTGAGAATGTGGGACTGCGTGTATCGCCAGCCTCACCACCACATGCGTGTGCACACACACGCACTCACATCTCCATGTCGACAAGACCCCCCCTCACCCCCCAACCCTTGGGCACCAACATACTTCTCTGGTCCAGGAGTGCCCGAGCTCCTAGAAGGCAGGCGTCACAGCTCCCACCCCTTCAACCTCCCAAGCATCTGACACTGCGCTCTGCAGCCACTGTGGATTAA